CATTTGGGGAATTCAGCTTAGCTCACAAGGTGGCCACCTATAGGTTGATGGATATACTTTTTAGTGGGTTAGATAAGATCTTTAATTCTGTTTGTTCTGAGATATGGTTGTTATTCTACTCAATGCCTTGTTTGGGACATGCCTGATAATTTTACAAGAATCATATATTGTTTCATGTGGCATCAAAGTCTTCCTTTTCTTTTCATTTTCAAGATAATGGAAATAACTTGTGCGTGATGTTTTGCTGAAGTAAATGTTATTAAAACGAGACCAAGAATGACGCGAGAAGTATTAAAACCGATCAACTATACTTATTTACTCAGAGGGTTCATTATTTCTTTTGAGTACATTTTTTTAAACGAATCAGCGAGCCACCAATTTCATTGAATAGAGAAGGAGTAAACTCTACAGTCTTCTAAGTACATTTTGAAATTCCCCATTTGATCAACACTATTACAACTAGCATCCTGTGCCTGGTTAAGTGGTTGCATGTGTGATGCTTGAGAGTTCATCAGCCACAATAATTACAGCAAATGGAGACCTCTATAAACTTTGGAGTTCGTCCTCTTTGCTTTAGACGCCTTTATTGAAAAGCTAGCATAGAAATATGCAAAGACGATTGTACAACACCTCAGGAGTAGTTGTCCGTAGATCAACTTTGTCTTGCAAAAATAAAGAGAAAGGCAAGAGGGATATCATCAGCAAGACAGCGAGATCAGAGCCGTCTGCAGTAGCACTACATTGCCGTGGGGGCACAATGCCACAGCATTGTCACCGGCAAACAAGCATATCTAGTAATGCATAATGGTGATGCATAATGTTAGCTGCTCAAGGTGTTTCATCTACTATGCCTTTTTTCTTTCTCTCAATCGATCGGCACAGCTCCTGCCATAAGTGTTCAAGAAGGAAAAATGATGTTTCACAAAAAAAAAAGGGGAGGCTAAATACCCTTTGATTTCATACATACCAAAATCCAGATCACGATTTCGCTTAACTTATCTAAGATGATGCGCGGTTCTCTTGCGTAATCTCTGAAAAAAGAAAAAAAAGAAGAAAGAGATAAATCTTTGTACACGGTGATTTCAAATGTTCAACAGGAACTCCTCTTCCACTGTACTAGTAAAATTTTTCAAATTGATTCGTTCAGAAGTCCTAGCTAGTGGTTGCAGAGAATACTGAAGCTGGGGGCAGCTTTCTTCTCCCTGAAAAAAAAAAGAAGAAGAAAAACCCTGCTGTCTCTGTGTCGTTTTCGTTGCTTTAAACCGTCCATTTGAGATGTTGATCGAGTTGATGAATGAAGTGTACAATGATGAGCAGCTTTCGGGGGTAGAGTCCACACCGATCGTCCAACATTGCCCAGTAGGATGGCCTGTTTGGTGCCAAATCACTCGAGGAAAATGAAAATATCGACTTGGCCGGCTGTCGGTGTGGGCCCCCACGTGCCACATCCAGCCGGATCCCCCGTGGCATCGCCTCTCTTTCGGCCGCCTTTTCTGCTAGGATGAGCTAATTTGTGAGACCCTCATTGATTGCTAGGCTAGATTGAGAGCGAATTTCCGCTAAAAATAATATTTGTGTTTGATCATGAGGAGACTAAACTGCACTTTGCGTGTTGTGTTGCGATTCATGTTTTAGTTTGCACCAGGTTTAAATGGTACCCTTTCACTTTTGCACCAATGACCAACCTAGGACGATATAGGATATAATTTTCATCAGTTCAAGGTCAATCATGATTTATCAAACCGTTTGAAATAGGACTAACTCTGTAACTCATAGTTTAACGGTTACCACGATAATAGCACGGTTACTGTAGGATATACTGTGGTTTGAAAAACTAAAAAGGTTAGCACACATTATAACTGTGTGATAACCGTACGATTTTGTAAACCCTGAGCTCGATCAATTCGAGGATAATTGGTGATAGCTCTGCCACCTCCAATTTAATTCTCTTGAGCAACCTTGATGCTACGCATGGATTACTTCCGTTTTTTTTAACAAAAAAAATGGTTTTGTTGTGTGCTACTTTAGAGACATTAGTTATTGATTACCTAGAGTAAAAGCATCACCAACCGTTATTCTATTTCATTTCCAAAACTGATTTTGAGGGTTTTTAGTATAAAAGTCATATCCAACATATTTCCAAAAGCCTTGCACTAGTTTTGGAGTTCCCATCTCTATATATTTCGTTACGTGGATTTAAGGGTGAGAGAGTGACTCCCAATCCCTCGTTCGCCTTTTCTCTCTCCTTTCCGCATGAGGGCTGAAATTTCTGTTGGGAGCATGTGGGTTACTGTGATCTCTTTCTGTGCGCGTGGAAGGAAAATAACAGAAAAGAAGGTCCACTTTTTTAAATTTTTAGAGGAATGAGTTTTTTCACTTTCTATTTTTAGTTTAGGAAATCCAAAATTAAATTTCGGGAATAGATTATTGCTAATCTGTTGGTGATGCTAAGAGTTAAATGAAAAGGTTTACAAACCATGAAGTGTAGATGAAAGATTACATTCAAACCGTTTGATTTTTTGAAGAACATATACTACTATATGACAATGCCTTGTTTTCATCCTTTTGCTGCCGCGCCACATTGGTGGCCATGAAATTGCTTGCCACAAAGAACAGTGAGGCATAATTGGAGCCCATGACCCGGAAGCAGATACTGACGTGGCGGCATAGCTAGGGTCGGTGGAAAGGGCCCCACTTCACAGTGCTCCTGAATTGATTTGCTCGGGTGTTGCCCTTGTGAATGACGTGTAATGCTGCCAATATACGTGCGTCCAGGTCATCCTGCCTCTACCTCCAATTACTATAGCGGCCCTACCAGTAATTTGTAATTTGTTCATCTGCAGAAGCGACGAGGAAAATTTTATGGTAGAGTTACAAGCCTCACAGTATATTCACCAACAGTATTTTAATATCATTCCCTATCCTGTAATTTTTGATTTTTTTTAATCAAAAATCGGTTTTACATGATTCCCTAATCTCATTCCCAATATTTTTTATTCCCTGTCCTACAATTATAGTCTAGGGACAAACTTCAGCTCCAATCGGAGTAATTTCCTAGGAGTCTCACCTTTTAGTTATTAAAAAGCTAATTTTAGCCAATCTCCTGAGAGATAAAAAATTTAATCCCTCAAATTCTGTTTAGGTTCTAAAATTTTATGGATGGAATTTTGGGACACGGTTGGTGATGCTCTAATATAAAATATATATATTCCTTAATTCCTATATGTAAAGTTAGAAATGAATCACATACAAATAGAAAGATTTATGGTAGATTGGTTATTGATACTGCCAACTAACCATTTATGTAAGGCAGCGTAGTCACTTCCCCTCTATGGTTGTGGCGGTGACACCATGCCTCACTGCTCCACCTCCTTGCTGTTTATTGCTAAGTGCTAACCCGCCCTTCTAATCTTAGAATCTCATGAAAATCATTGTCGACAGGTTATATCCGTAAACGGTATTTGTATAGTATGAGAATAATTGAAACCAAGGTATACGCGAGATCAAAATAAAAGAGATAGGACAAGTTCATGCCCCTTAACTGACAGGTACTCCCTCCATTAAATATGTATGACGTCGTTGACTTTTTACCAATATTTTACCATTCGTCTTATTTAATTTTTTTTAAATATAAAAATGTTTACATCATTCTTAAAGAACATTTGATAATAAATCAAGTTATAATAAAATAAATGATAATTACATAATTTTTTTTAACAAGACGAATGATCAAACGTATATCAAAAAGTCGACAACGTCATACAATAAAATATAGAGGGAGTAATAGCCATACTCCTGTTGGCTAAAGCCGGTGTTACTTTTATATATCAGTATCACACGAATACAATATTTGGGATGACCTAATCTAGTTTCTATCGGCCTGGTGGCATCGAGCTTTTGCACATACTCAACGGCTGGTGTAGTCTTC